CACTCGTATATTACCTTCTTTTTTTAAATCATAAGTATCTCTCATTAGTATGTGTAGTATTATTATCATCATCATCATCATTATTACTATCATTAATATTATTACTATCATTAATATTATTACTATTTGATCAAGATCAAGTTCAACTTTGTCTAGGTTTAAAGTTTTGTGCAAAAGGGAACTATTTATTAATTTGTAAAACTGGGTAGGAGGAGTATAAGTTTTAATCTCATATTTCGCATTTTTCATGTGTTTCCTCTTCTTCCTTTAAAAAAAAATATTCTACTCTCTTCTTCTTCTTCTTCTCTCTCTCTCTCTCTCTCTCTCTCTCTTATAATATGCTTTGAAGTACATTGCATTGTGTGTGTGTATGTGTGTGTGTGTGAGTGAGTATGGCTGATTGTGTTTGCAAGATATTTGTAATTGTTTTGTAATAAGTAGGAATATACATGTATCTCTTTTTTGTTTTGCTTGTTATTGCATGTTTTTATTATATTTGTATTTAACTCTATGTTAATGGGCCCCATTTACAAGCTCTGCTTCTCAGGGGTCCATAGCCTGTCATCATGTTATAATTATTGTTCCAGTACCAGTGTCATTGTAAATTGTTTTTAATGATTGGCTGAATAAATTGAATTGAATTGAATTGAATTATTATCGTAAATATTGTCATAATCATTATTAACATAAGAGATATCGTAGTTACGATTTTATACACAGTTTTATCATGTTTATATAAAATAAAGCTGAAGAAAGCCACACAGGATCTGATATTATGATATAAACGAGAATAACAATCATATATCAATAATAATATTTATCTAAACTTTTTAAATTAAATTGAAAATGCTAAACGGAACGATGTCCAACGTGATTCAAATTGAAAATAGTAGAAAATATACTAATTCACAACGTTTAATGAAATACACAATCCATGCTTCTTATGTATTTCATCTAGCCTTTTGAAGCAATATATCTGTACATATAAATATATATACATGGGTATATATACCCACACAAAGTGCATATCAATAAATGTGTAACCACCTTTGGTAGCTCCTATAAGTGAACATTGAAAAACAATATGACTTTGAAATCTATTTTACAATGAAAGGTAAACTTTCTACTTTCAAATGATATCATATTCATAGTAATCCTGATACGGGCGTCTGAGCACCAAATGATGTTGTCAAAATCGCCCTGTACCAAGTTCAGGCCGATTGAACAAATGTGGGTCAGGCCATATGCATGTGCTTCTTTTGTCTTAAATCCATGTGAAAGCTAAATAATGCTTCGTGCTTTAGTGCTTTATTGTTTATAATGATGTAATGTATTTAGGCTCTCACAAACCCTTATTTCAATCCATACAGGACAATCTTTAATTATTTTGAACAGCCTTCTAACTTTTTGTCTCATTATATTTAAGTTCTCTCAGCCAACATGTCCGCTGCACCATTTCACATGCGTAAGGAGCATTCGTCGTTTAATATCTCAGATAGCAAATGAAAACTCATAGGTTACTCAATCCAAATGAAAGAAGGTATACATATGATGATAAGTATCAAATAAATTGACAGTAGAATTTTCACGAAAAAGATAACATTCCAATTAAAATGCAATTATTTTGTATTATTCAATGAGAAGGGTTACCTTAAAGAGAAGGTTGAGTTCTGGGAAGAGGTGAAAAATAATTTGTGAACATTACTCATTCTTATGCAAGTATGAAAGAACATCAGTTAAGACATGTTCCCAGAAAAGCATGGCTCTTCAAATGCCTTCATATTCTAAATATGCATGTAACATCGTAAAAATCGGGGGCCGGCTTTTTACGCCACGTGTTCGTGTAGTCCCATATACATCTATCTGTGCAAGTGTTTGTAACTTTACCAAGACTTGGCCACATTTCTTATCATTTTGATGATTCCAGAACCTTGCAATACACACAAATTCTTATATGCTAGATGATCAACCTTTTCTGGTCGGTTCCACACCGTTTCTTTCACAATGCAATCGCATGACCAGAACTCAACTTCATCTTTAAACAAGGGATGCGAACAAAGCCAAGATTGTAATCATCATAACAAAGAAAATATCATTGAATTTTGCTTGAGTTTGACGATATATTAACACCTTTTCTTTTCAACTACCTAACAGTGAATACAACTAATTGTTCTATTTCAACTACCTAACAAGGAATACAACTAATTGTTTTTGGAATGAGATAACATTCACATTCATTGCTTCAGCCCAAGCATGGTACCAGAGGATTTTGACACCACTTTTCGAAAAGCCTGCTGCTCAGTTATCCGTTGCAGCACAGTCAGGAACAATGTATCATTAATGAAAACTTTTTTAGCCCAGCATACTGTTGCTTCCACCGGCCCGAAATTTGGGAATACCCTCAATGATCCCACTATAAATTCTCCAAGCCTCCCTTTCTTCAAATCAAAACTCAAACCGTTCATATTATCATCATATGAAGAGCTTAATTCCAAAAAGGGGCTAAATTATTTATATCAGAACATTGTTCACTTAAGTACCCGTCTTTGAACATCTGTATTTACCTAAAGTTTGGGAGCAATTATAAATAAATGCACCTTCTAATGTCGTTTTTTTATAGACGCCTGTACAAAATCTGGTAAACAATTTCTTTTTTCTCCGAAGTTACAAAAATGGATTCAGCTCCTTTTAGAATTAAACTCTTCATTTCAAAGCCTAATTACATCTCTTTACTTATGAATAATACCACAGCTGATGCTAGTTTTCATTTATATACATTATAGTACATAATCGCTCGGACTAACCGTGGAGTTTTCATCCATCGTGTTCTTTTGTTCTCTCTACTCTCACCCCTCTCCTAACCTTACGTCTCTCTCCCATTTTTATTTCTGCCCCAGTCCTCGTTTTATCTTTTCCCTTTTACAAATCTTTGTCTTTGTCCTTGCCCTGCTTCCTAGTCTTTACAGGGACTATCAAAATACACGTATGTGGGCATTGTCTTATAGAAAATAGGAAACACTAAAGTATATCGGATGTCAAATTATAGGTCATCCTGCCACTGAAGAAGAGGGGTTGGTTCACTAATGCGGCCCATCTGGTAGAAATTGTCCTTGAAGTCTAGCCAGTAGTTATTGTTACCGATGCCATCACAACGCATCGTACCGTCCCATCCAGATTTGATAGAATCAGTAAATCCAAGCACTGTCCACAAAATGGTCAATTCATTTTCACTTAAACATATTTCTGTAAACAAAAATGTAAAAGGTGGAGTGGAAAAGTTCAGCAGCAGATCAAGACGGGGAATTTTGGGAAACAAAGGCCTTTCCCTTACAGAACAAATATGAATCCACGCCCCCCCCCCCGCAAATAAGGCACACGTTCAAGTGTGTATAAGAATATATAGCTTACCGCGTCATGAGGCTCATTAGACGGAAATATGTAGTGACAAAATGAGTCATTAAATAGACATGGTCCCTAGCTGGACATTTTTGTGTCCTGTTAAACGATTGGACAATATAATTACTGCCCTCTACGTACGTTTGCAGGCAGAGAAACCTTAAAAGCCTTCCAAGAAACAATAGGTTTACTCATTAGTCATTAGTCTAATTAGTTATATTGTTTTGAATTTAGGGTTAGGGTTATGGTAAAATATCAGTCTGTATGATGTCCAGTTAATGTACCATTAGGGTTATATATAATATTATAATACAACATGTAGGGTTATACGGCCAAAAGAACCACCGGGTTCGGCTTACTACGAATCATCGGGTCATCGCGCTAGGTCGGTGGTCGTGTTACCCGACCTTTCGAGCAATCATGGCCCTTCAATCACGAAATTTCGAGGGTAATGTATGTAAAATACCCACCCCCTCATCTAAAAATGATCTGGTCCAATTTACCCGACACTTTGTGAAAACCCTACGGCAAATCTACGAAAGGTCGTGTCATCATCGGCTTTCGTTCCACGAAGGTCGTGTTACGCGATTAACGGACCGGACGCGTTGACCTGATGATACGATGTAAGCCACCGGGTTAGATTTCAGCGGAGACAGTTTTTAAAGTTGTATCAGTTAACCCCCCCTACACAGACACACAGACACACACACACCCACACATACACACGCGCACACACACCCGCACATACACACACACACACACACACAACACCACAAGCACACACACACACACACGCACACACATCCTTTTATGTTTAAGTAAAGCTGCTGTTACTTAAATGTTTTTTTTTAGAACAGAATGAAATCTACATCATCTTCATCTTATTCTTCATCCGCCCCCCCCCCCCTCAAATCAGTGTTATTTAGGGTACGGAAATGCGTGTGCCCAGCATCCCCCCTTCTCAGCATAAGTCCCGTGTATAAGTCAATACGGGTAGACCTTTTTCTTTTGTTATACGAGCCTTTTCACCACCCCCCCTCCCCTTTCAGCATAACTCCGTGTGTGTAAAGTCAATACGAATAGACTTTTTCCTTTTGTTACGAGCCGGAGAAGAGTGAAGCGACAAGAGACAATAGTGAAACTAAAGAGTAAGATCAAGGCAATGGACTGGTAGCAGTAGATCGCGATAAGTGCATTTTATAAACAAAGAGCAAAGTAATAGACAGAAGTCACATTCTGAATGAAGCTCACAATAAATTGTAAAGAGAAAACAGGACACTCTTCATTCTATTTAGAGGAAGTACTTGAAAGAAGATACAATTCCATACAATTATCGTTGGCATGTCACGTAATAGCTTTTGATTGTGAAAGTCATCAGGCTAATCTAATCAGATATACATTAAAACACAGAGTTGGAAATATAGAACAGGAAATAAATTACAAGTACAGTGCATGAAAATTGGCACTTCTGAATAAGATCCCTATTCAAGAATCAAAAGTAGATAGACGGGTTTCAAGTGCGACGTATATCAAACAAAGTTTAAATCATCTCTATCGAATAGTCATAGTGCATCGTTTAATGTGAGTGGAGAACAATCTTCAGGATGGCGTCTGGTAAGACACAGACTTTGTATTTGATCTATTTGATTTGAGGTTATAATATTTTGTATTATTCATGTTGTCGACAGGATGTTCGGACAGGTATGCGTAGATTCGTCCATTCTTCTATCCATTACCTCATTATCAATGACTGTGAAAACTGAAGGGAGTTATCGATTGTTCTATACCAACCTCGTGGAGTTTAGGCACTGAATTACACATACCGACCGTTTGAAGGTTTATATCGACCTTGTAGAAGTTTATATTTATGAATTTTAGCGAAAAACGTTCGCAATTACTTCCTTTTGATACTACTATGACAAGCAGTGACAGTGATTCAGGAGTCATGATAAATTCGTCTAACAGATGATTGCACTCGCTTGATTCTATTGTTCGGATTATTTAGCAGAGAGAGATAGAAGTGAACATTACCATGACTGACGGCCTTTTATTATTAGTCTTATTTGTTCATCGTCTCTACAATTCTATTTGAACCCGAGTTTTCCGTACTCTCTGTCCCTTTTGTCATTGCCTTCCATTCCCCTTACTTACCTCCTTCTTACCACTGAGTATTAATGTGCATGTGTTTGCCTCGATCATAGAGGAAATAGTCACTAATATGACTGAAATTATCATTCTCCTTCCCATTTACCTTCATCTGCTTCTTCCTAGTAGTATTTTTTTAAACATCACTTTATTGTTCAAACTTGCACAACAAAGGAGAACAATAGCCCAGGACAATTCCATTTTACTGGAAAATGCAGGGCATTAAAAGTACATACATGTAGATATACAGTGAATGTTATATAACATCAACAAAAATTAACTAATTTTACAACATAGTGAAAGCTGAGGAGTGATGGATATTCCTAGCTATAAATAAGAGGAGCTAAATATTGAAATTTCATTTGATATATCAACTTAATAAATACGAAGCATACATAATGAGTATTATAAAAGTTTGATTTGAGTTAATGTTTAATACAAAGAGGATTCTATCAGTGCCAGGCAATGAAAAGAGACGAGCAGTAGAAAAAAAAAAAATATAAGACTGGTTACAAGGTGTATTAACCAATTTGTGTGTGTGAGTAATTACATACTTGAAATGCGAAGGGGAATTTTGGTTTCCCATTTATTGGCATTCTTTGAGTAGTAGATAACAAACGAAGAAACAATAGATAGTTTGGATAGAGTCTGTCGAACTTGTTTCGCATTGACAGGTTTTCCAATTTCTTTCAACAGCTGCTTTAGCCTCGTCACATTGTCCGGCGAAATATGACCTCTAGAGCCGATTTCCAAAGGAAGATACACCACAGAATATCCATTAGCCTGTATATCGGCAACTAACGGGGCATATTTGTTCGATTTATATTCATGTGCCTTAACTACATTCATTTCAAAGGGAACTGACAATTCGAGTATGAGGATTTTCTTTAAGTTCTTCCAAAAAACACAAATGTCTGGGATGAGGTTGGTTTGGGTACACTCTAGTGGAATTGTGGAGATGCCTTCTTTTGTCCATCGCTCTACTTTCAGGTCTGTGTACATAATAGTGTCGCTAAGAGAGGCGATGCCTTCTTGAATAATTTCGGCAAGATACAAAAGTATGTTGTCATGGCGCCAAGTATAGCGTCCCTCGTCAAGTGACACAGGGCATGCGTTCAATACATGGTGTACTGTTTCTCTATTTTCACATTTTTTACAGTTTGCTGATGCCCTTTTACCCCATCTAGTAAGGTTTGCATTCGTATTAAGTGTATCTGAAAGCGAATTCATGAGAAATTTTGCAACTTTGTTGGGTAGGTTGTATATCAGGCTTTTCCATTCTACTGATTTTGATTCCAAGTTTGCAAGTTCAAAAAACTTGCCTTGGACTGAAAGTGACTGGATATGATTCAGCCAGTCCTGTGATCTTTTTTGTACTAGAGAGTCTTTAACCTGTTTCTTCAATTTTGGAAGAGTGGCATTAGGGTCTTGAAGCGATTGAAAAACATTATGACTATTCACCACCGTTGATTTTTTTCTGGTCCACTGAGATTCTCTTTGAAGGGCAACATCTAAGCAATGATTAACCTTAGCATCACCAGTTGCTCTTACTCTTGTGTAGTTTATTGTGTGAGCTTCATAGTATAGATCATAAATGTTGAGTATGTTAAGACATTCTGGCATATGAAGGAAGGCCAACGTGGCCGGTCTGGCAAGGCCAGACCATTTTTTCAAGTATCTATTGCATAAAGCATCAAGTAGTTTTAGATGAGTATCAGTGAGCTCATTGACTGTGAGGTGGAATCTCAGTGATGGCAGAAAATAGTCAGCAAATACTTTCAGTTTGAATTCATTACGTACCAGAGCTTTATCAATATTTGTAACCCCGACTTCAATCATTGATTTTACATACTGATATTTATCATCTGATGAGTTGTCATACGATACAAGTGAACCTAGAAATTTGAACTCTTCCGTTTTGAGGGTTTTAAGTTCGATATTATCTAAGTGAAATTTCAAGTCAGTTGGTGAACCTCCAGATATTGAAAGGGTTCTACACTTTCTCTGTTTCAATTTTAAGCCAAGCGATGAAGTTCGACTAGAGATTGTATTCATGAGTCGTTGATGGGTTCTCTTATTGCCTGTTATTAAACAAAAATCATCTGCAAATGGTGCAGTGATGAGCTTTTGGCCATCTAGCTCGTATCCAAATCGGCTGTTTTCCGACAGAACTTCAATTATTGGATTGAAGCAAAGGAGAAAAATTATCGGCGATAACGGATCCCCTTGGAATATGCCCTTTTTAAAACGAAACTGTTGTGAGTTCCATTCTTTAGTCGAAACAAAACCATTAAGGGAAGAGTACAGGTTCATGACATAATCAACAATCGGTCTAGGAATATTATTACGATTAAGACTGTATTCAATTAGATCATGCGGTACTGATCCGAAAGCATCTTCAAGATCAAACCAAGTAAAGTGTACCGTTCTACGGGACTTTTTCGTGTGTTTAATAATTTCATGAACCACTGTATTGTGGTCAAGACAACCAGAAATACCATGCAAGAATCCCTTCTGGACAGTGCGATCTACAAAATCATTATCAGTGACAAAAGTTTCAATTCTATTAGCAAGTATTTGGTGAAATATCTTGCCAGTCGTACTTGACAATGCTATCATTCGAAAATTCTCAGGTTGGCTTGTATCACCCTTTTTATGAATTAACGATACTCTACTCCGAGACCAAGATTGCGGGGGAACTGGGTTGCTTAATAGTTTACTGTAAAGTGTTGCAAGAAAATGATGGGTACATGGCAGTTTTTTAAGCATACCGTAATAAATACCATCAGGACCTGGGGAAGAATGGGAACTTTTCCTTTGGAGAACATTTTTAACGTCCTTTGGTCTAATGGGATCTGTATTAAAGTCCGAAATTGGGTTCTTGAGCGGAGGAATCCAAGATAGACTAGAAGGGTCAACACTCGACGGGGACTCGTAACGTGATTTGAAGTAGTCATTGGCAGTATCTGCACTGCAAGTGGGCGTGGCACTACGAGAGTATAGAGAGTCTTTCACGATCTTTTTGCTGTAGTCCCAAAAGTTTCTTCTGAAACACCGTTCTTCATGTTGCGCATTTCGCTCACAGGTTTGCTCATCGCGTCTTTTCTTAAGGTGAGTGTAGGTTGCGAGAGCTGCATGAAACATGTCTCTATCTTCTTTCGAGCTGGACTGCCTGAATGCACGACGGCGAAGACGATTCTTTATCTTCCGTGCCTCATCCAGAAGCTTTGGTTCACGTCGGGCGAACGATCTCTGTTCATTCTGATTGTTGACAAAGTCAGGTATTTCAGCGAAGAAATCTTGAAGAATAGATTCGAAGTTAGAACCCGCTTCAGCTGGCGTGAGCGTGTCTGTTGCTAGGTCATTATGCAATAGGCGTAGACGATCCGCGAGTCTGGTATTCAGAGAATTCCATTCTGCACCTGGCAACTGGGGTAGTGAGAACTTAATAACTGTTGCCAAAAGGCAGGCGGTTGCAAGGATAGGTATCATGACGCTAACTCTAATAGATGGGACTGCAATCTTGAATGCATACAATTCACAAGTCACAGCTCATAAAGTAATTCAATATCTACCGAAAACTAGTAAATACAAAGCAACCTAAATATAAATGACAACTCACCAGTTACATGGTTCCAAAGTAAATCCAATAAAATCCTAAAATTAACCTAAAGTAAAATGCAGAATGGAGACAGAAAGTGCAAGTTTGCAAAGGCTACATGGCCATGTCATGCCTCCATTTTGCAAAAAATACTATAGTAGTAGTAGTAGTAGTAGTATACTATAGTAGTAGTATACTATAGTAGTAGAAGTAGTAGTAGTAGTAGTAGTAGTAGTAGAAGTGATAGCAGCAGTATCATTATAATTATTGTCATAATTTGTATCGGTGTTGTTAATAAAAAAAAAAGGTATTATCGTAATAATTTTCTTTATTATTTGTTTAATTATTCATATTATTTTATTGCTATTGCTCTTATCCACATTAACATAACTATCTTAAGTAAAACGTCATATGCCCGCGGGGTCAAAGTGTAGTCCTAGTTTATCATTGTGGTCACGCTAGGTGGGTAGCCTTCACAATAATTATAATCGTGGTTAAAGTGACTTTACACAGTGATAAAACTGTGTGATAGATATTGTATATTCAAATGTATATGAATACAAATACCTTCTATTTGGGGCTTTGATTTTAGATTGGTGTTTCCAGTGTTTTCATTGTTCCACAAACTTAAAACTTCACAAAAGCAGTTCGTGCTTTTGCATGCAAACAGAGTATGTAAATCGACCATGTGCTTCCAATCTGCCTTACACTGCTTCTATTTTCTCGCCTGTTTTTTGACGTCATTTCTAAACAATATTCTTGAACACTTTATCATATTCATTACAGAACACAAGCAATTCACCAAGGAAGGTTGTGACGTAGAGGGCGGTGGTTATGATAACCTTCCTAGCTACGATGAGAGTAATGCGATTTCAGGCTCAGCTCCACCTCAGAACCCTTACCCACCTCCGAACTCTTCTGAGTATCCTATGCAACAGCCTTCTCAATTTCAGCAGGCTTCACAGTACCCTCAGCAGCAGCCAGGCACCTATGTCCCTCAGCAGCAGCCAGACACGTATGACCCTCAGCAGCAACCAGGCACCTATGACCCTCAGCAGCAACCAGGCACCTATGACCCTCAGCAGCAGCCAGGCACCTATGTCCCTCAGCAGCAGCCAGACACGTATGACCCTCAGCAGCAACCAGGCACCTATGACCCTCAGCAGCAACCAGGCACCTATGACCCTCAGCAGCAGCCAGGCACCTATGACCCTCAGCAGCAGCCAGGCACCTATGTCCCTCAGCAGCAGCCAGGCACCTATGACCCTCAGCAGCAGCCAGGCACCTATGACCCTCAGCAGCAACCAGGCACCTATGACCCTCAGCAGCAGCCAGGCACCTATGACCCTCAGCAGCAGCCAGGCACCTATGACCCTCAGCAGCAGCCAGGCCCCTATGACCCTCAGCAGCAGCCAGGCACCTATGTCCCTCAGCAGCAGGTGATTCAGGTAAAACACATGCAGAAGAGAGAAGGGAGGCTGGGAGGGATAAGAGAGAAAGGGAAAGAGAGGAGGAGAAGAAAAATAGAGAGAGAGAGAGAGAGAAGGAGAGATAGAGAGAAGGGACACTTGGAAAGATGACAAGAAAGGGAAAGAGAGGAAAAGAGTAGAAAAGAGTAGTAAGAGAGATATAGATCGTCTGAGGGGAGACAGGAAGATATAAGAAAGAAAGGGAAAGACAAAAAAGTTACAAACAATGGGCTATAATAAATCCCCCCAACAAAAAAAATACGTTGCTGGGGAAGGGGGGGGGGGGGGGAGGGGGGAGGTGCACATTTCCCATTTCTTTACACGAATAGGTTATCAATTATGTTTCAATATTTTAATATCATGCAGCCTTCAATAGAATATGGTATGCGAAAATTCACCGGGTCACTGTACGTTACGCTACCATAATATCGAAGTTTTCAGCACTAAGGCCCCCTACAATTGTACATGTATTTTGTATTTGGGGTCGGTGTATGAGATATTGGCAGTAGGAGAGGTATATAAAATGAAGCAGCAAGAAGAGACTTGCTATTCCGGAGTCATATGAGAGTATTTATCATCTCCAAACTTTGGATAATTAAATCAGTCACATCATTAACACAAGATGGAAAGAGAGCCAGCTAGAAAGGGGGTCTTGATCTAATGGTGATAAAAATTCAATTCCTCCTCCAGAAAGCCTGAACATGTAATATTTATACAGAAGGATACACGTAATATGAGGATAGATAACATTTTGACATGAATGAGGGCCGCCAAAACAAAGGCATAAATGGGCCAGCCAGAATGTAAGGGGCTTAAACGTAGAGGTGGTCTTCCCTGAGAAGTGGATTATGAAAGCGCTCGGTGTTTTTATGTGGAAGGATTATATTAAAAGATATGAACTTCGCTTTTAAGTGCATCTCAAACTGGGCATCCTGTCTGGACATAAATATGAGGGTATTTTATAATAATCTCGGTCTTGGGACAATACTACACGACGGTATTTATAAATGAAACCCTCACACTCTGTTATTGAGGGGGAAGGAGACGGGAGAGAAAGAGTGAGAGAGAGAGAGAGAGAGAGAGAGAGAGAGAAAGTTTGAATTCAACAGCATTTGACGATGATTATAAAAACACAAATTAACTCTACCCATTATAATGATACTAATTATTTTCCTTCTAAAACCACAACTTTTAAGAAATAAATCTGTATGCCAGGAGATGGAATCTTTGTTAAATACATGTGATGGTGCTATGGCTGACATACCTCTGACAAGTATTTTGTCTTAATTACCACGTTTACCATTGTTTGATAAGTGTACATACAACTTGGTAGCTGTACCGGTATGAAACATATAAATACCTATTACGTAAAGATGCCTATCTCGGTAGAACAGCATTATAATCCTATGCTAATGATTTACCTTATAATTGTGAATTCAAACAGGTACCGATCCAACAGAACATAGTTCATGCAAACATGGAGACGATGCCGAGAGACTACTTTGGTTCAGCTCTTTTTGTCACATTCTGCTGCTGTTTGCCATTTGGGATTGTAGCTCTCATCAAATCAATTGAGGTATGATTGACTTTCTATTAAACTAGACTTAACGAACCCTGCGACGTCTGTCAATTCCCCTATCAGACAGTACCCCCGGAAAACAACATTTTTATATATGAAGTCCATATGAAACTATGAAGATGTATTGTTATCATAAATGTTCGTTGTCGGGGTCGGGAGGGGGGGGGGGGCATTTCAAGTAGCTAGATTTTGATTTTATAAAGTATACCAATATTCTTATAAATGCATGTAATTGTGTGCCGTTTGTGTTCATTCAAGCCAACATTTTCATCATTTAAATTCCTTTTATATACGTTCAGATGGTTTATCATCAATTACAATATATTTTCCTTATATAACGAAAATGTGAAGCGCAGTTGTATGTTTAAAGTGTATAAAGCTCGTTTTATTAATATCAAGGGATAGTTTATTATGTTTAGTCCAGTATGCTACTTCGGGTTATTATATATACATTAAGTATATGCACAAGGGCATCTAAATTCGCATGTAGTATACATGATAAATGTAATGATGCATTATTTCTATCATTAATATAGAATAAGAAAATAAGGGGACCTAATAATGATCCTTGTGGGAATCCACATTTAATTGTTAGATATTCCGATGAAAACTTGCACCGCATACTGATGCCGGCATGATGAATAATCTCAAAACCACGTGAGAGCAACTCCTTGAATTCCATGAACTTGAAGCTTTTAAAGCAAAATACTTTAACTCAGCGTATCAAAAGCTTTTGATAAATCCATAACAATTCCCATTACATGTTGGTGTTTTTTGTGTTGCGCAAACCTGCTAAAAATAGCAAGCTTACACGTAGTGGTATATAATATATTACACAACTTCCTGGTAAAATCCCCAGTTTACCACAGTGTGAATTGCTAAGTAGTGATGTCAGGTAAATTATGCGACCGCGAATATGTTCACTCAGATCGACTTAGTATGCTATCAGGAGTATATATTAAAAAGGATAATTTTCACGGGACAGTTCTCCGATGATTCCTTTGGTTTGTAATTGCCTATGGGAAAAATACATCACATAGTAATGATACAAACTGTTTGTTGTTTTTTGTTGCTCTTGTTAGTGTTGGTTTGGTGGTGGTGGTGTTTGTTGGGGTTGATGTTTAAAAATAAAACATGAACAAAATCGGGGTGGTCATTCAATCTCTTTGTTATATTGGGTACTGATCATCACTAATCTTCTGCTATTTTTCGTTTACATGATGTGACATGAGTGTTGTATTTTCTTGCTTTATCTGAAGGTAAAAAACCGTTCAGCAGTGGGGGACTACCGTGGCGCCGCTAAAGCATCTCTTGAAGCGAAACGTTGGTGCAAAATCGGATTTTCGTTTGGCTGTATTTCAGTGGTTGTTTCTGTACTTGTTCGCGTTTTGTCATCCTCTGGATCCTATTAGAAACATGAAGAGGAAAAAAAGGAGGAGAGGGGACCATGATTAGACGGGAAGAAGGGCAGCGTAGTTTAGAATCTATAGTGTAAGATAATAGAAACATGAAGAGGAAAAGAAGGAGGAGAGGGGACCATGATTAGACGGGAAGAAGAGCAGCGTAGTTTAGAATCTATAGTGTAAGATAATAGAAACATGAAGAGGAAAAGAAGGAGGAGAGGGGACCATGATAAGATAGAAAGAAGGGCAGCGTAGTTTAGAACCCAATTGTTAGATCTCAGTCAGTTGATTTCACGACCACATCCCTGACTTATATAGAGTTAGAAACTCCGCCAACGGACCCCTTTTTATCTTCAGGTATTTTGCAATCGGGAGAAAGAAAGAGAAAGAAAGAGTGGGTCAGAGAGTATCTTCTTACTAATACGTGTTACAATACGATACTTAACATTTAATCACTTTTTCAATCGGAAGAAAGTACTTTAATATAAATGAGATGACAGTACTATATACTTTATAATTTTCTGCAACGCGATGACAATTTCTAGTTCTCACATAATTATTCTGTATTTGTAAAAATACAATATTCATTGAGTGATTTCAAGTTGGGTGTTAGTGTTAGTGTTAGTGTTTAGAGCAGTCAAGAGCTCTTAAATCGAGCTAAAAATGTGCTGATGAAATTAAGAGCCCGATACCGATATCAATATCGATAGCTTAACACCACCGTAAACTATTACAAAACAAAAGTAAACACCACTGCACTGCAATTGATTTCACTTGATTTCACGACGATGATTTAAAAATACTACATAAAAACTAAAGATTTCATGAAAAGCACAGAATAAATTTACACTTATTTCTCTGGGGTTATGAAATAACTTATTTTACACACAATAAATGTATGGATCACATAGTAAATGACATGTTGTTTCACATATTCTATTAATTCGTCAGCCAATAAATTAGCGTCGTACGTGAGTTGACTGTTGTTAGGGTACGTGTGTGTGTAGCTTGGTGGATCGGAGGGGGCGCGGCATTCATAAAATGAAATTTTGAAAGAAAGACCCCAGCCTTGGCTTTAGGTATATGAAATGATTCATGTCATGATGTGGATTTAGTCTAGGGCTTAGATTAAACTAGTAATGCTCGTTCTGAGAATGTTTTTCATGTAGTGTAGTACCAATAAAAAAATGTTATTCACTGCTAGCTCATAGAACTAGTATTATAACTAGATCTAGATCTTAGACCTAATTAGCCTAGAATTAGAAGGCTAGATTGTAAAATGAAAGTTGAAAATGTTGTTAAAACCTAATAAATAGACTCTACTAGAAAGGCAAAGAAAAGGTAGGCTTATGCTTTACCTTCTAGGTCTACTTTGAAACGAAATCCCCGTTCGTTTCTAGGTGAGCTTACTTACAAACAAGCACATGAATGACCCATTTTAATATAAGGAAATCCGAAGGGACGAGGCGATCGGTCAGAGCCTTGACGCCGCGCCCGAAGCAGGCGCAGCAGATTTGCTGAGTGCTTCGCTAGACAGACGAACACTGCAAAGGCGCGAATATACAAACAATATTTTGCAATAAATTTAGACCCTACCTTGTTATTCTTCTTGGAGCTGTCTAAATATAGTCGACGGAAAAATCAGTGGTAAGTCAGCATTATTTCTTTGGCTAAAATGTTAAATAATAATTGAAATGATGGATGATGGTTCCTAGAAAACTTCTAATTGTAGACAGTTAGCTCGCTACGCGCATTACGAGACTAGAAGAATGCAACGTACAATCTTAATTGTGTGTGTAAAATGTAGTAAGCTCGACCACACACACACTAGTAGTGTTCACTCCCATGAACGCTATTTAGCAGGTTCTAGCTCACACTCGCGCCGGCCTGCCAGGCCAGGCGGGCCCGTCAGATCAGATGCGCTGTTCTAATGCGCGTGCCGAACCAGTGCATCGGGCAAGCTTTTTTTAGTGTGTGAATTGTAAAAAGGGAAGGATAATTATATAGGGGCGCTGAAAAACAAAGGCTATTTTTGGATTATTTGGTGAATCGGTGTTACATTATTATGTTGAATTAATTTGTTTTATTAGATTCTCTGTACTCTGTAGGCATATACTAGACTAGAACTCTGAGTCTATCTGACTTTACTTTCCTTTGACATAGTCTAGATCTACTCTTCTTCTCCGAGCTCCCAAAACAAGCTGCTAATCCCGTTAATTTTACTAAGTGGGCGTGGTTTTCAACCTCTTTAATATCTGACATTCGGGGGAGAGGGAGGGAGGGGGATCCTCAGATTTGGTTTGGACGGGGGTGTGCCGCTCAAGCCGAAACCACTAGGTCTAGGCCCATCGTTTAGAAATTTTTGTGTGAAAAAGTATGTCATAATATGTGATTAGGCATACCCCCCCCCCCCCCCAGATTGGGAAGCAAGTGACAATTCGGTGAATCTGAGTTATCTGTGTTTCTTAGGCATATAGGGCACATAATTATGCCTACCCATCACGTCCGACTTATAAGCAATATTAGCTAGACTATTCTCATTAAGATGATAGTCATATGAATTGTATTGGACGGCAATATAGACTGAGGCCTAACTCGTTTTTTGTCAAAAATGTTCACGATTACTTATATCGAACTGTGTTTGTATTGTTGCTGTTCTTCAGAGAAAGGAGTATGAGGGGGGGGGGGTGTACAGACATGTAGGCCTAGGCTTGGTTGTATCTAACGATGATGGTTCCTCCTTTCATCAATTCCTCCTTACCCCCCCCCCCCCCCCCCGGAAGTCAATCTCAATTGTTTCAACATGTACGCCCCTATATGGCTCATTCCTCCACATCAGGGCCGTAGCCAGAGTTTGATGTTAGGGGGGGGGGGGGGGAGCACAAACATGTAATTGATCGACATCCTGGGGAGGGGCCTAAACAAGATCAACTGATATTTGGAAATTGGGGGGGGGGGGCACGTGTTCCCCCCCCACCCCGTCCGTGACTACGTGCCTGCTCTACACGCCCGCTCTTCTCCCCCTCCTCCTTCTCTCTCCGACTCTCTCTCTCTCTTTCTCCCCTCACCAGAACGCAAACTACCCGTTGCAGTCAAATGAAAATATATTGTTACACTAATTAACTCATTGATGACTTTGCTAACCCATGAATCTCAAACTATACAAGACTGTTTGTACGCCCATGCTTTAATTTATGATTTTTTTTCCCATCATAGAACAATGGCAAACAGAAGAAAGGCGTGGAATCTTCAGGGCATCATGGCAGTAATGCAGGAGTACCTCAGCTGCCACGACGTGTACAAACAAATGAAACGGAATGGTACAACTAAAGGTTTCCACAAAACGGTAGCTGACAAGCTCAGCTACCAGGAGAACGCAACCGAGAACCTCCTGAAGAACTTGGGCAGGGAGTACCGGGATATACTGCAGCACACTATGGTATCTGGTACAGACACCCGAGATCCGGTACTCCGGGGATCAACGGAGCTGTACTTGCTCTTTGAAGAGTACCAGCAGCTGTATTTCCCAGCTGGAGGACAGGTATGCCTATTGTCATTATTTGTTATCATTATTATTTCATTATTTCATTTTTTTTAATTTGTCAAACCATATATTACATGCTGGTAAAAGAGTGTAAAATAATGATGATGTATTTTATCAACAAGGGAGATATCTTTGGAAAAGGCTTTGTACATCTTTATCAGAAATATATAAATATATTGGGCCTACTTATCATAGGTTAGTAATAATGCATTAGAAACATGCATGAATGGGAAAATTGCATTGGCAAACTGGGATCTTAAAGTTAAGATTGCAAACCAATGGGAACTTTATTATGCATTCACTAACTGGAAAATGGAAATCATTACAAATTTCGCCTATTTGTTTTTATATAGATCAAACCTCAAGCAGTGATTACAGAAGGAGGCGTGGTCATCCCAGGGGAAGTGATAGTCATCCCAGGTGAAGGTGATGAGGAGGCGACGGGAGCCCCATCCACATCGTCCGCTTCTCCCCCAACAAATCGGAGACAGAAGAGAAAGCGTGACGACGAAGTAATTGTCCTTTTGGGAAGGCTTGTGGACGAGATGACGGCACTTCGGATGATGGTTGGTTCCGCTCTGGGGATCGACGTCCAGCTAGGTGAAACCGAGGACAAGGAACAATAACTATCCACGATGTACATAGGGCGTCAAATCGTTTTGCATTAAATATTATTTGGAAACATTATTTGAATTTCGATAGTTATGCTTAGTGTTGTGTGGATCTATATACAAGTTGTTGTTGATTATGTCAGAACAGAGCGACTTATACATAAAGGAGAAGGTGGGTTTTGGGAGGGTCAGGAAGTGCCACAATCTCATAGAGATATTTGATGATACAATGACAAATTACCTATTCAAAAACAGTTCTTTCTTAAACTGCGCGAGGGAGAATTATGGTTCAACGACAACCTGATAACATAACCTTTACATTATGTTTTTGTTTGCTCATCAGTTAATCCAAACTTTCAAAAAATAACATCGATTTGTGTATCTTTGTGAATCGTGGATTTCGAACACTCCCAGAACTAAACATGTCCTTTGCACTTAACAGAAGAAGGCTGAAATGATTCTAATAGTATAACAGAGCAAGTTGAATATTGTCTTTTGAATTTATTAGATATTACTAGATATACAGAATGATATGTATTATTATACACCTGAACGAAAATACAGGTTTCACAATAATAATATTGTGGTCTCCTGCGGCACATACCTGAAATGCAATGCATATTATAGACCCACCCCCCTTCCCCCTCCCCCCCCCCACGGAATGGATGTTATGTATGTATATAATTTACATAATTTAAATACATAGAGAGGGAGAGAGAGATAGAGAGAGAGAGAGAGAGAGAGAGGGGAGACGAATAAGAACTAAGAGGAGGGGGCGAGCGTAAGCAGGCATGGGAACCGACGCCCCCCCCCCCCTAGCCGAAAAAGTTTGAAAAAAGGAAAATCCTGAAACCGCCACTGAGCATAAGAAGTAGAGAGAGAGAGAGAGGGAGCGAGAGAGAGAGCGAAGAAGTGACGGCATTCATTGAGATGAACTGACAAAGAAAAGGTACATTTTCATTTGCAAATTTTTGTACGGTTTCTTAACTACGAGAATGATAGCTTATAAGTAATTTGTATATCGGTTGTGTAGAACTGCCATGGACACGATGAGTTTTGACGCAAAGATAATCCCTCCTTTAGCTGCGAGCCTGTTCTCTTTCATCTGAGCCATCCGCCACTTGAGCTGTGTCGCCCCGATGGTGCGCTCTATCACTTGTCGAAGTCTTGTTATATCATCGTTGAACTGTTGCTGCTCATCAGTGAGGCCGTGTCCCACGAACCGATGACCAACGTTGCGGTGGAGATTCCTGTAGGCAGGGTCCCCTATCGTTATGTATCCATCCGGGAGGTTGTCCAGAAAGTCCATGAAGGTCCTGCTCCATTCAGTGGCGGTCTTATCATGGGTTGACCTGGGGAGTCCTTAAAAAAGTAAAACAAATGGAGATTAGGTGGTGAATATATAGAAGCAGTTTAAAATAATTTACGTGGTTTGAGTTATGTTTAATTTGTGTTCAAAATTATGGGATGTTGATTTCTACTTTGGCTTTGCTTAATCTCTATATTATTTTATTACAATCAATTATGGACTGACATGTTTCAGATTAGAAATACATGGTTGAATAACATTCTCCACCTAAATTTGAGTATTAACAGGAAACTTCACAAACGTATAACAAAACTTATAATTGAGTTAGGTTTAGTAGTTTACAATTTGTCATGGATGTACTGAAAGCATAACTTACCTGTAATGATGTGACGAACTTTGCCGAATTGGTCGGTTACATACTGGGTATTGAGAGAGTCGCAAGACTTCCCATGCCTGCCGCAAAAATATGCGTTTCCCGCATGGTCAGGCCGCTGGATCCGCGCGATGTATCCGTCAATGTAGAGGATAACATTCTTTACCTAAAACAATCAATTGAAAATGATATTAGAATACAACAAATCTATACAAAAAATGTATATGCTTGATAAGGAGAAGGGGTGAGAAGGAAGGGAAAAGGGGGAGAGGGAGGTAATGGTTATGATAATAGACACGCAGAAAGAGGTGATATTATTATTTAGAAAAGAACCGATCCAAATTATAAAGCCGGTATCAAAATATGGTAGGGTGCTCTTTTTCCCGCAATGTGCTGATTTATATCATAAAGGTAAATAGGCGCTAGACTTATATGGAAATATATTTTTAAAAAGTAACAATATAGACTAGTACATTCATTTGATTTATCCCAATTCACAAACACACACACACAAACGCAATCTCTTTCTCTCTCTCTCTCTCTCTCTCCCTCATTTCTCCATCTATCTTTCTCTTTTACTTGACGATATCACCAAAACTATATAATAGGCTTATAGACGTCATAATGAAGTAGAATATTTGCATAGAATAAACTCACTTCGCCATCGGGATATCGAAGTTCTGACGACAAACGTTGCATTTCGTCATGTTGTGGTAGCTGTATATGGTGCCGTGCAATGTCGAAAAGGAAATCGGCTACAAGATGGGTGTGCCGGAATGCTGCTGATGTTGACAATCCGGCACTTCTCCCAACTTGCCGGTAGTACCCACCTCCTGCTAGATAATCCAATAATGTCATTACCATTTGCTCCGATTTCACGATTCCGCGGGGCCCCGCCCCCCTCCACGCATTGAATTCGCTTCCCAGCTCTTCAATCTGCCCTTCGTTAAGGCGCAGATAGCTTTTCGTGGATTCTTCGGTGGAACACGGCTTCCTAATTTTGTTCGGCTGACGCCGAACTTGAGCATTCAACATGATTTCACAGTTCGAAAACGCAAAGCTACACAAGATGATGTTATTGCATGTGATCAGCATGAATATATGCTAGGCTACTCTAATTTAGCAACACTAACACTAACACCGAACTGGAAATCAACATTTGCTTAATCCCTAGGGGTTAGTGTTAGTGAATAGGACATTTGTACGTGAAATACTAACACCAGCCACAAAGGTCGGTTCAGCAGACGACAATTTGGCAAAATCGATAACACCAGCTACCGGAAGTTGACGATATTCAGAGGTCAAAGTCTTAACACCAGCTGATTTCCATTTCGGTGTTAAGGCTGGTGTTAGTGTTTATTAAACACTAACACCAGCCTTAAACACCCAACTTGAAATCACTCATTGTAATGTCCTAGACTATTATTAAATTATTTTGGCTTTGCCTTTAAAATAGAAGCATATTTGCAAATACCCACCTAAGACAAATATTGATTACCAAGAAGAAATTATTTGCAGCATGAGAATATTAACTAAAGTATGTAAACTAATTCATAAAATGTGTGTTGACAAACTTTTGAAGTTCCAGTTTCCCAAAGGAAAGGGAAAGGTATTCTTTCCAAATCAGTTGTTAATTTGAAATAAAATGTCCATCATTCCGTTTAATTGTTCCTTTTCGATAACTTTAAGGTATTTTCAGTTGAAAATAACTCATAGTATTCTTGGTGTCAATAAGTATTTAAAGACTTTTAGTTCACCCCATTCTGATTTATGTACTTTTTGTTCAGAAGACATTGAATCTATAAAGCAGTTATTTTGAAATGCCCCGTAACTCGTCCATTCTTAGAAGATTAAAAAAAACATATCCTACAAAATTAAATTAAGTTAACATGTAATGACTTCATTTTTGGCACCCAATGTGAAAATTATTCTGTTTTTAATTTAGTTATTTTGTATGTAAAATATTATTTATTTTCAACTAGACATTTGAAGGGATCTTTATCATTTTCATGTTTTAAAAGAAATTTAAATATCACTATGAAGTTGAACAAACAATCTATGCACAACGAAATAGGTTTACTTCTTGATAGATGGAGGTAGGTCTAACTTTTCTAAATACTAGAATATTTTTTGTCATTGTGCCTTTCTTTGTCAAATGTATGTATCCATCATTTTGTTCATTTGCTAAATATTTGTTTTGCTCTGAGAAAAATTGAATAAACATTTTATTTGAAGAACGAAACAAAACGCGGGGTAGTGATCATATTTTTTTCCCTCGTATTTGACCTCGAAAATGTGAAAATCGTGCCGACCAATATCTCGCTGGGTGGGGGGGGGGGGGGGGGGGGGGGTGTAGTGAGCATCATTTTTTTTGGAGTATATGACCCCGAAAATGTAAAAATCGAGCCTACCAATATTTCGCTCAGTGGGGAGGGGGGGGGGGGGGTAGTATGCATAATTTATTTTTTGTATTTGACCCCGAAAACTTTTTTTTTCTTTTTCTTTTATTAAAAAAACAAAAAAAGCCAGGGACCCCCCCCCCCCCCGTGGATCCGCGCCTGAGTGTTGATCCAATAGAAACAAAATAATTATTAAGTTCATTAGCTATGCCCTCATCTGAAGACACAACTGTATTTGTTCCCTCATCACAAATAACTAACTGTTCAATCTTTGTATTCTTATTTGTATAATTTCTACTAATTAACTCTTTGATAATTCCCCAGGTCTTCCTCATATTATTTCTATTTTTGCTAAAGGATTCGCTATAATACATTCTTTTAGCATTCTTTATGATAGTTACTAACATTTTTCTATATTTCTTATATTCATTTCTATACTCTTCATTATAATTTGATGACCTATATTTGTTATACAGATTATGCTTCTTCCTGATAGATTTTACAATACCTGTTGATATCCAAGGCTTTTTTTTGTGTAGATCTTTTCTTTGAACTGCTAAAAGTCAATTAGGTGCATGTTTATCACACACAATTACAAACATATCATACACATTCTCATAAGCTACATTCACATTTTCATATCTATATATATGCTGCCAATTCAGTTTTGACAGATCTTCTTGAAATAGACAGACGTTGTTCTTTCTATATGATCGAGTAACCTTCCTCACAAAAGAGCTCTTTCCTGAACCATTTCGACCTTTACAAATTACAAAAATGGGAAAATGATCCGAACCATCAGTTTCAATAACGCCTGAATGAATAGCGTAATTATGAACATTAGTATACACATGATCAATGAGAGACGAAGTCAAATTTGTCATCCTGGTTGGCGACGAAATTATCTGCTGCATTCCTGTAGATTCTATTGCGCTCAAAAAATCAGATATCTTTGGCTTACCCGTTAGTGAAAGATCAATATTGTAATCTCCTAT